TGCCCTGCCCCCCAGCTCTTAGCTCCCCCCTGGGTTTCTGATCACTGTCAGTGGCAGGGGGCTTCTTCATGCTTTCCCTTTCGCCTCCCTGCATTGTGCCTACATATGCAAATTGACCGCCATCTTGTTGGCAGTTAACTGCCAATCTTAGTTGGCAGTTAATTTGCATATAGCCCTGATTAGCCAATGAAAAGGGTAGCGTCGTATGCCAATTACCATTTTTCTCTTTTATTAGTGTAGATAGTTGTAAACTGGAACTGTTAATTGTTTTTATGGAGGAAGGGGCCCACAAAGTAAAAAATGGCTGGAGCCACGCAAGTCAAAATGCAGCCCTGGTGGCAGTAGTAAGGAGATGAAACCCCCAAAAAACAGTTTTGAGTTTGGCAGAGGTAGGTGAGTCTACAGAGAAGTCTGGGAAGGCCCGGCCAGCAGGAAAACAGGCGAGAGCTGTGCTTTGGAAGCTCAGGGAAGAGAGGCTTCAAGGAGGACACACTGTGCCAATGCTGCGAAGGGGTCAGCTGGAAGGGGACTGAAAAGCATCCAGAGGATTAGTGACAAGGACCCTGTGCTCTTGACGGTGGGCTCAGTGGTGAGATGGGGAAGGAGAGAGATTGCGGGTTCTGAGGAGTAGATGGAAGGTAGGGAAATGGAGATGGCTGGTGCATGCATCTCTCAGAACATTTAGCTTTTGAGGGAGGCTCTTTAAATAGGGGCCCCACCTAGCTTACTCTGTGTCCAGACAAGTCTCTATCTGGTCCCTAGACACATGCAGAATTGTTTCAGTCTATGATGCTAGGTGGGCTAGCGGCTCTTGGCACCTTAGAGTTTCAGAGGGACACGTCCGAAGGAGGGAGTGCTTGCTTAGGAGTCCACTGGGTAGTTGAGTGATGAAGACTGGAGCCCAGGCTGGAGATGCTTACCCGGGTCCTTCCAACTCCAGTCCTAAATGTGTGACTCGCAAGGAAAAGCAGCCAGCAATGGAGTATTTGTTTATTGGTTTCAATGGACCTCTTGAAGCCTTTGTTCTAGTTTTTTAATTAAAAGAAATGGATATCCCACTGATCATGGGACTTACTATGAAAGACAATACCTTGGAGTGGCTTTCACAGGCTAGTGCTGCTTCATTGCTCCTCCAATGCAGCATTAGCACAGTCCTGGGACCCACGAGGAGAGGCCGTGGGACAGATGTGGCTTTCTAATCCATCTGCAAACTAGGAAGGTCCTTTAGGACAACATAGCATTGGCCAACTACGTAGACTGTTCACCAAGAATACCTGCGTATTTTTGTCTAGTGTGCCCTGCCGTCCTGGGGGGCCCTCCGCGATCATATGATTACTACTCAGAAGCACATCTTCCATTAGCAGTTGCATGTCCACCAGCTCTCCATGAGCCACCTTGAGGTCATGGTCACCCAGCCTACAGAGGCACAGCTAAACACAAAAAAGAACAAAACAAAACAAAAACATCCATTTTGAAGACTTCTATGTATCCTTTATGCATAGCTTTTGGAGAGAAAACTAGAAATAATTATGTTTATAAGCCCCAACTTCTCAACTATTAAAAAAATTCCATAATAATCAGAGTACCATTTCTAGCTTAGAGTCTTCTTGGAACATATCAGACTTTTAGCTCTGTATGGAAGTCCAAGTTTCCCAGCCCTTACAGTGGTGTCTGTACATGGCGAATGTATAGTGTGATGCCAATTTTCCTTTAAAAGTACAGATACAAACACATGTATGCGTAGGGAAAATACTGGGGAAAAATAACCCAAAATGTGAAGTGAATTGTGATTGTCTCCTAGTGGGAGGCTATAATTATTTTTTTTAACATTCTTACTATTTCACTTAGAAAACCCACACTTTTTGACTTATGGAGAACTTTGAGCATATACTATTTTGAAGCAAATTTATGATTGATTTTCATGTTGTTCTTAATTTTTTCTATATTTTAAAAAATGATTATTTGCTTAAATAATCAGGGGGAAAACACATAATTGAAAAAAATTCTCTGCATGAGTTCTGCTTACAGAGTTCTCTTCCTACCACTGTTCAGAGACGGGTCAGAAGTCACATGTCTCTGGGCTGCCAGGCTGGGTGTTTCTCTAAGAGACTCAAAGAGTGACTGGGAAAGGCTGGCCTCTCTTCCCGATCATTATGGGCCATGGCAATCTTAGCTGAGTTTACAACCAAGGCTGATACCAGCTCAGACCAGGATTCTCTTTGGATGTAAGAGAACATGTTTCCTCTTACAGTCATTGGGTTTACAGCCTCATTATAAAACACCCTGGCTAGCTCATAAATTATTCACCACTGGCTAGAGGGTGGAGGATCTGACTTATGGCCCAATGACACTTGCTTTGCAATCTGTATTCAGTTACTTCTGTGACAAGTGGGAAGACCTAGTCTACCTGCATATTATATTCCAGGGTATCTGGGCTGCTACTAATAACTGGAAATGGTCCTCCATCTTCTAGAAATGCTCTCCAAGGAAACAGCACAGATGCCTTAAAAAAACAAACAAATAATAAACATGATAATGCTGTACTGAGTTAATAAGTAATAGCCATCTGTATATGAACAGGATACCTCTGCCTGCACCCCAAAGTACTGTGGGATGATTTATTTATTATGTAGAAATAGTTCTTAATGTATGGTCCCTAATGATGTAGAGGAGAGAGTTGTAATCTCATTTTGTTAAATTGATTTTTCAGAAAGTGGCTAAACACAGGATACTCAAGACTTCAGTGTAACTAGTCAGAACATCGTTTGAAAGTTCCAAAACAGTATAATACCAATGGGACATATTTATAATCAACAAAGAAACTTACTCAAATATTCTCAATACTAGGAATCTTAAAAATTTGTCCTTAATCACCATTGTGATTCAATTCTAGGTAACAACTCAAAATCAATGCCACAATGTTACACTATCTTCTCCACATCACTGTCTAACAGCCAAGGAATCCCCTACTCCTTGTAGCACCACAAGCAGCCCTGGATATAGTGACCTGTCCATCTGACCCCATCTGACCCCATCTGACACTTCCAGAACTGGTACTGGCTTCAGACAATTCCTAGATCTGGAGATGATTCAGCTGTCAGGGAGTCAAGATACCTGTATCCACCTAATTCCAGGTGACACCCAGAGGCAGAAAACAGCCCCAATGGTCATGGTCCAAGCTTGTCTTCTGGGTCAAAGAGAGGGTCAAGGCTTGGGCCAAGCGTCATTGCCTTACAGTATAGCTGGGGAAGGTAGAAGCGTGAGACCTCCATGGGGTGATGTGGGCATTACTACATAGAAACATTAGGCTGGAGGTTTTAGAGTCAAAAGACCTAGGCTTGTGAGGTGGTTTGAAAGGTGTCCACCAATTTTTTGCTACATTGAGAGGTGGAATTTAAGTCTTCTCCCCTTGGTGTGTGATGAAATTAGTGACTCGCTTCTATGGAATAGAATATGGCAAAGGTGATGCAATGTCACTTCTGAATTAGGTAATAAAACGAATGTAACTTCCATCTTGTGTTCTCTCTCTTGCTCTCTTACATCGTTCACTCTGGGGGAATTCCCCTCCAGAAGAACCTTGAGGTGACTACAGGAGGCCAACACCTTATTGCAGCCTCATGAGCCAGAACTACTCAGCTGAGCTGTTCCCAAACTCCTGAGCCCCAGAAGCCATATGAGATTATGACTGTTTATTGTGTTAATATGCTAAGTTTTGAGGTAGGTTTTATGCAGCCATAGATAACTAATACAGTTTGTGAGCTAGTGCTGCCATGTCTACCTGGCAGTCTGATCTCTGGGCTTCCTGAACCTTAAGTTCTTTCGTTGTAGAAGGTGGGTAATATTGTTGGTGCCGAGGAGCAATAATAGTGGCCAGGATGGCATTTGATAACTCCTCCTCCTCCACCTCCTTCCCCTCCTCCTCCTCCTCCTCCTCCTCCTTCTCCTTTTACCTCTCTCCCCTGCTCCTCCTTCACCTCTTCTTCCTTCTTCAATGAGAACTCGTCCAGTTTATTGTTCATTTCCACAGTACGTAGATGGCTCTTGGCAACCTGGGTTGGAGAACAGTCCCAGGAATGTGTCTGT